ATGTGCTGTCTAGTTTTATCATAGCTTTTCTTGCAATGGGTAAGCATCTTTTAACTTAATGGATGCAGTCACCATCTGCAGTGATTTTGGAGTCCAAGAAAATAAATTCTGTCACTGATTCCAATTTTTCCTCATCTATTTGCCATAAAGTGATGGGACTGGATGCCATGAGCTTAGTTTTTTGAATGTTGAATTTTAAGCCAGGTTTTCCCTCTCCTCTGTCACTTTCATCAAGAGGCTCTTAAGTTCTTCATCGCTTTCTGCCACAAGGATTGTGTATTCTGCATACCTGAGGTTATTGATATTTCTCCCATTTCTCCCAGCAATCCTGATTCCAACTTGTACTTCATCCAGCCTGGCATTGTCACTTGATGTACTCTGCATATAAGTTAAATAAACAACGTGACAATATACATCTTTGATGTACCCCATTCCCAATTTGGAACCAGCTCATTATTCCATGTCTGGTTCTAACTGTTGCTTCTTGACCTGCATACAGGTTTCTCAGGAGGCAGTTAAGGTGGTCTTGCATTCCCATTTTTTTTTGGGGGGGTGAGAGGTATCACATATGTTTTTTGTTGTTGTTGTTTTGTTTTGTTTTGTTTTTCCATTTATTTTTATTAATTGGAGGCTAATTACTTTACAATATTGTAGTGGTTTTTGCAGTGGGAGGGGGAATCAGGATGGGGAATACTTGTATTCCCATGTTTTAAAGAATTTTCCACAGTTTGCTGTGATCCACACAGTCAAAGGCTTTGGCGTAGTCAATAAAGCAGAAGTAGATGTTTTTCTGCAACTCTCTTACTTTTTCGATGATCCAGCAGATGTTGGCAATTTGATCTCTGGTTCCTCTGCCTTTTCTAAATACAGCTTGAACGTCTGGAAGTTCTCAGTTCACATACTGTTGAAGCCTAGCTTGGAGAATTTTGAGCATTACTTAGCTAGCCTGTGAAACAACTGCAATTGTGTGGTCATTTGAACATTATTTGGCAATGCCTTTCTTTGGGATTGGAATGAAAATTGACCTTTTCCAGTCCTGTGGTCACTGCTGAATTTCCAAATATGCTGCTACACTGAGTGCATCACTTTAACAGCATCATATTTTAGGATTTGAGATACCTCAGCTGGAATTCCATGGCTTCCCTGATAGCTCAGTTGGTAAAGAATCCACCTGGAATGCAAGTGACCCCAGTTTGATTCCTGGGTTGGGAAGAGCCACTGGAGAAGGGCTAGGCTACCCACTCTAGTATTCTTGGGTTTCCCTTGGCTCAGCTGGTAAAGAATCCACCTGCAATGCAAGAGACCTGGGTTCAATCCCTGGGTTGGGATGATCCCCTGGAGAAGGGAAAGGCTACCCCCTCCAGTATTCTGGCCTGGAGAATTCCATGGACTATATAGTTGGACAAGACTGAGCAACTTTCACTTTCACATTGGAATTCCATCACCTCTACTACTTTTGCAGTGGTGCTTCCTCAGGCCCAGTTGACTTCACCTTCCAGGAAGTCTGGCTCCAGGTGACTGATCACACCATCGTGGTCATATAGGTCATGAAGATATTTCTTGTATAGTTCTTCTGTGCATTTTTGCCACCTCTTCTTAATATCTTCTGCTTCTGTTAGCTCCATACGATTTCTGTCCTTTATTGTATCCATCTTTGCATGAAATGTTCCCTTGGTATCTCTAATTTTCTTGAAAATATCTGTAATCTTTCCCATTCTACCATTTTCCTCTATCTTTTTTGCACTCATAACTCAGGAAGGCTTTCTGACCTCTCCTCACTCTTCTTTGGAATTCTGCATTCAGATTGGTAGATGTTTCCTTTTCTCCTTTGCCTTTCACTTCTCTTTTCTCAGTTATTTGTTTGGCCTCCTAAGACAACCATTTTGTCTTTTTGCATTTCTTCTTCTTAGGAATGATTTTGATCACTGCCTCTTGTACAATGTTATGAGCCTCCATCCATAGTTCTTCAGGCACTCTATCTATCAGATCTAATCCCTTGAATCTATTCATCACCTCCACTGTATAATCGTAAGGGATTTGATGTGGGTCATACTTGAATGGACTAGTGGTTTTCTCTACTTTCTTCAATTTAAGCCTGAATTTTGCATTAAGATGTTCATGATCTGAGCCACAGTCAGCTCCTGGTCTTGTTTTTGCTGACTGTACAGAGCTTCTCCATCTTTGGCTGCAAAGAATATAATCAATCTGATTTCAGTACTGACCATCTGGTGATGTCCATGTGTAGAGTCTTCTCCAGTGTTGTTGGAAGAGGGTGTTTGCTATGACCAGTGCCTTCTCTTGGCAAAACTCTGTTAGCCTTTGTTCTGCCTAATTTTGTACTCCAAGACCAAGATTTCCTGTTACTCCAGGTATCTCTTGACTTCCTACTTTCGCATTCCAGTCCCCTATGATGAAAAGGACATCTTTTTTTTTTTTTTTTGGTGTTAGTTCTAGAAAGTCTTGTGGGTCTTCTTGGAACCATTCAGCTTCTGCTTCTTCATCATTAGTGGCTGGGGCATAGACTTGGATTACTGTGATATTGAATGGTTTGCCTTGGATACGAACAGAGATTATTCTGTCGTTTTTGAGATTGCATCAAAGTACTGCATCTCAGAATCTTTTTTTTGACTATGACAGCTGCTCCATTTCTTCTAAGGGATTCTTGCCCACAGTAGATATAATGGTCATCTGGATTAAATTCACCCATATCAGTCCATTTTAGTTCACTGATTTCTAAAATGTTGGTGTTCACTCGGCATCTCCTGCTTGACCACTTCCAACTTACCTTGATTCATGGACCTAACATTCTAGGTTCCTATGCAACACTGTTCTTTACAGCGTCAGACTTTACTTCCACCACCAGTCTCATCCACAGCTGGGCCTTGTTTTCACTTTGACTCCATCTCTTGTTTCTTTCTGGATCCTTTTCTCCACTCTTCTCCAGTAGCATATTGGGCACCTACTGACGTGGGGAGTTCGTCTTTCAGCATCATATCTTTATGCATTTTCATACCGTTCATGGGTTCTCAAGGGAAATTTGAAGTGGTTTGCCATTCCCTTCTCCAGTGGACCACGTTTTGTCCGAAATCTCCACCATTGCCTGTCAGTCTTGGGTGGCCCTACACAGCAAGGCTCACAGCTTCACTGGGTTAGAGAAGGCTGTGATCCAAGTGATCAGTTGGTTAGTTTTCTGTAACTGTGGTTTCCATTCTGTCTGCCCTCTCATTGGATCGGATCAATGCTGAGTTGCACAAATTCAGATGACTGCAATGTATATTCATCTTCACTCAAAAGAAAAGTGATGACTTGAAAGGACATTAAAAACTAATGAAATGCAAAAGTTTCTCCTTCTTAAAATGTACTTCATGTTTAAAAAAGTGCAACTTTGATATAAATGCTATATATATGAAGCATATATAATAATTTGAATTAAATATACTTATTTAAATCACTAACAATTTCTTATTATCAGAATATGAACAAAATATAATTTCATATTTAGTCAAAAAGTACATATAACCTTATATGTATATTTGCATATATATGTTTGCATATAGATAAGCCTGTCAAACAGAGAAAAGTACACAAGTTATTAATTTTAGTTGTTAGCAAGTGTTTGGGCAAGATTAACATGAGTAGCAGTGGGTGATATCAGGAAAGGAAGGCAAGAAAAGAGAAAAGATTAAAAATTCAGCAAGTGAGATATGGCCCTTTCATACATATATAAAATTACACGTGTTTTTACACATTAAAGTTTCATTTAGTAATTATTAGATATGCTTCATATATATAGCACTTATATCAAATTTACATTTTTTTAACTTGAAGTGCATTTTAAGAAGGAGGACCTTTTGCATTTCATTAGCTTTTAGTGTCCTTTTAAGTCATCACTTTTCTTTGGAGTGAAGATTGGGCAAGATTAACATGAGTAGCAGAGTGACATATCAGGAAACGAAGGCACGGAAAAAAAAAAGATTAAAAATTCAGCAAGTGAGATACGGTTCTTTCACACATTTATAAAATTACCTGTGCTTTTACACATTAAAACTTCACTTAGTGTATTTTAGGAAAGACTCTAAAACATTGTAAAGAAAGAAGAAAAGAAAGAAGGAAAGAATGTATTCCTGCACTGGATTCCATACTGACCTGCTCCCATTATCTTTTTCATCCTATTCTGGATGTGAAGCTTTTTGAGAGAAGGGAAGTGTTGACTAGCATCAGAAAAACATCCACCCCACTTCAGAAGGACATGCACAGATATTACTACCAAAGAATATAGTCCCGTGACCTCCCGATGTGAGAAGCTAAAGCTGAGAGCCAAACTTGGATGGATGGAAGAAAACCACAACCACATAAAACCACAACCACAACCACAAGGAAATTGGGGTTACTTTACAGAACATACTGCATTATGATATTATAGCAATTGTGTTTAAATATTTCTAATTGTTCTTAAATGTTTTTGATAGCAGTTGATATTACTGATAGCAGCTCTTTGTCGTTTAGTGACAGCTCAGCTGGGCTTTCTCTCTCTTTTCTCTTAGTTCCTTCTTAATTCCTTCTCCCTTAGTTCCACACCCTCTACTTGGTGAAATGGGCATATACATAATCACAAATAGTACCAGGACTGCCCTAACCATTTTTCTAGCAAGAAACATTGCTTAGGATGCATAATTTTAGAGACATTTTGTATAGCTCATTTGGCCAATAGGTATATTTTATAATAGTAGAAATTTATTATTATATTACATTGTGTGGTAAATGAACATATTTCATCATTTTAATGATTTTATTATCTTATTTTATAATAAATCACTGTGTCTTCTCTTTAAGTTGTGAATGAAACATCATCAAGGTGCTTTGTCCTTCACAGAGGAAATCCTGAGGACTGCACAGTGCAGTGTGGACAGAAGCAGGAACCAGCAAGTCTGCTGCCACGTGACTCAGCGGGAGCGCATGCGCTGAGTTCCCCCGGGCCACAGGGCATGGGGACCACTTACTCTCATAGCGAATGAGGAATCCCACGCTGGACCGGCTGTTGTCTGTGCTGAACAGGAGGTACATGAAGTTGCCCGTGCTGATGAGGAACTGGGGCGCCTGCGTGCCGTGGTACTCCCCGATCAGCGGGGCCGAGCTGGCCGGCCCGTCTCTGACCTCCAGCGTGTCGTAGTTGACTTCGGTTTGGAATCTGCAGGCAAGTGTGTCCAGTGAGAGGAGAAATGCAGGGCTGCAGTGACTTACAGGCATCCTGTGTCTTTACTCGCGGAGTGAAAACCCACTTACAGCAAGAGAAGTAAATAGATCCAGATACACATGCCCTTTCAGACTGGGCACATGTGGTGTCTAAGGTTATTACTAACTTCTGTTCACCCCCACAGCCCTCCCGTGACTGAATACTCTGTCCAATAACATCACAGACACAAACGGGGCGGCGGGGGTCATTCAGCTTTAAAATACAAATACTGTGAGCCAGTAGATAGACGACAGAGAATCAACAGTCAGTGAAAGTCAATCAAGATGCATTTTCACACCGCTTTTCATGATCCCCAGTGTAACATGACTATAGATTTCTTAAAAGGAGCATACTGAAGTGACATGATCTCCTAAAGGAAAGAGGTAAATCAAACAACATGACACTACTTTAAATACCTTTCCTGAAATAAAGAATCCTATGCCTTTTAAAGCTGCATTGACTCTCTTTTTTCCAATTAAAAAAATTTTTTAATTATGAAAGTATGATAATATACTTGGAGACTTGGAAAATATAGAGCAGCATTACATATGTAATAGTTCCACTATATATCATAATTATTTTATTAAGCCAATAAATTAAGATTTTTAGTTGGAGTTTCAATATCAAGCTCTCAAAAATAATAGAATGAATAGACAGAACATTAGAAGAATGTAGTGGACCCAGAAAGCACTAAAGCTGCACCGACTCCAGTATGACAGTGCAAGGACCCTGAACTTCAGAAAGCAAACGCTACTTCGGTGATTTGAGAAAGTTAGAACAGCTTCCAAGAAGTACCTAACTTTCTTTCCCGGAAGGACTGATGCCTCCAGAGAACCTGGTCTGGTGTTATGCTCATACACAGTTGCAGCCACTTGGGTGCTCTCTGATACAGCAGAGGTGCCATTCCAGACACTGAGATAATTTGGTAAATGGGCCCGTCTCGTCCTCAAAGAGCTAATCGGCTTTCAAAGGTTCTGGCGTGGTCCCCAGGGAGCAGCTCACTGCTGGAGCCTCTGATGCACTCAGTGATCAGGGAATTTGGGGGAAGCCTGTGCCATGGTCCCCAGGGTGGGCACTGCATGCTGCTGACAGGGAGGAGAAAGAAGGGACAGAGCGACCGTCTTAGGCTCCTAGCACAGAGCAATGGAAAAAGATGAAACCAAAGAACCCTGCCCTGTTGATCATTAAATCACACACTTTTCTTTGTGTGTGTTTGTGTATGTGTATAGTTACTCAGTCCTGTCTGACCCTTTGTGACCTATGGACTATAGCCCACCATGCACTTCTGTCCATGTGATTCTCCAGGCAAGAATACTGGACTGGGTTCCTCGCCCTCCTCCAGGGCATCTTCCTATCTCAGGGATGGAGCCCACGTCTCTGGTGTCTCCTGCATTGGCAGGCTGGTTCTTTACCACCAGCGCCATCTGGGAAGCCCCTTCTTTGTGTGAATGCACAATAATAATATATTCTTGCAACTAACTTAGAATGGTCCCTGACCCTCCATTTTCCACAAAGAGTAATTCAACCAATTGGTGTAGCATGTGGCTAGGTCAGAATATGCTCAGAGGCCAGGCATTTGGGGGTGAGGAGAGAGCGCAGCTTTGCATTTTACTATTAAAAATATTCTCTAAAGCATCTATGGCTTCACAGTTTATCTGAGTTCACATTCAAGAAGCCTAGATGAGCTTGGGATAAATCTCATGTGCAGTATCTGCCCTGAAGTTTTCACAATTTTCATCTTGAGAGACAGCTAGGACAGATAGAGGGCACACCTCAACAGCTGGAGGATCTCCAGGGCAACTTCAGAAAGAGAAATGTAAATGATTTCCATCATCTGGCAACCCAGCGCACACTGCATAACAATACCCTCAGTGTGGAATTTAAAACTGTTTGTATAAACACAACCTTTATTAGGATGCCAGCCCACAGCTCAAGTTATAAACCGAAGCACTATGCAAGTAATCTTTAGAAGACTGTGTACAATGTACAGGGTAAAAAAAAAAAAAAGTGTCTAAAAATATCCAAAATGCTGGAATTTAGCAAATACCACAGTCCAGTAATATCAAAAAGACAAGATTGAGAAAAATTATGAGCATTTTTTTTCAGCAACTGAAAATGGAACACTAATATATTGTGCCAAACCAGAATGTGAAATCACCATTTTTACTAAATGAGTTAAATGTGATATGCTGCTGGGAATCAGGGTGTGTGTCTGCTTTTTTCCCCTCTCAATACTAGAAAATATAAAAAATTATAATAAGAAACTAAATTCAACTTATTTAATATTTATAAAGTTTTTTTTTCTCAGTGACTAAGATTATATGCCAGAATTCATTCTCCAACATAACGAATACATAGACCATTTTTTTTTTCTTTTCTTCTGAGAGATTATCCTACTGGAGTTGTAATTATCCCATCAGATATAATAATACCAATAATAACTTCAAATATAAACAGTTACTAAGTGATAATACAATTCCTGCTAAAAACCTTTCCTTTATGGATGCTATCATTGAGTATTAGGAAATTAGTGTAGGAAATAATGTCATAAGGTATATCTGTCTTGAGACATGATAATATTCTGAATACTAGAACCCTAAATTCAGTCTGCTTAAGAAGCTCGCTGCTGGAGAGAGCTCAGTTTGCTCAGATATTAACCTTGAAACACTAAACAAAAATGCTTCCTTGGATTTTAAAGCATTTGGGTCCATTCTACAGCATTTTTGGTTCTCAATTTTCAAATCAATGGTTGAGACAACCGAGACAATATTTTATCATGGAGAATTCAAATAGCATGCTTCTTCTTTTTTAGATTATCAAATGCATTATCCAACAGCCAAACTGAACAGCTCTCCAGTGATGGAACCACTCGTGGCTAATTAAAAGGTAAGAAATCTGTTGCACACAGTCTATCAACTCTGCAACCCAAACCATCTTTCAGTGTCCCAGAGCCATTCCCAAAGCCAGAGAGCTCTTCTTCTGTGCTCTGCAAACCCCTAAGGGATGAAGGGCTCCATTTGCAATAAAACACCAAGCGGAATTTATTGCACCCTCAGGTCCAAAATACAGAACTAGACTCAAGGGCCAGTGACTATGAACACTGGGAATGCTGTCTGGGGCCACACCCTCAAGCACGTCTGCAGAGGTGCCTTAACTGTGGGCTTAGAGGACAAAACAGAGAAGAACAGAACTTAGCAAGCAAACACCTGTTCTAAGTGAACTCCTTTAGAGGAACCAAAGGTGAAAAACTGTCATCTTTCTAAAGACTTAAGATCCATTTAAATAAAAATGTTGGGCATGCATGGGTCATCAGGTCCAAATTAAGGAATCCAAAATTTTTTCTTACCTATCAAAAGTGATTTTGATAGAGTGTCCTGGTTTTGCTTCAATTATCCATTCACAATTTAAGGAGTCTTTGTAATACCCTGGCCATCCTGGGGGCAAAATCACTCCACTTGAAGCTGTCAGATGTCCTCCACATGGGGCTGAAAAATGATGCAGGGGTCAGAAGGTCAAATGATGTACATGTACCATAGCAGCCTCAGAAACAGCAGGGTGCGTGTTGAGTGCGTGGACCTGACGGTTTCTAGTCTTCAAGCAGAGGTTGAAAGCTTGTTAGTGGCTCAGTCATGTCCGACTCTGTGATCCCACAGACTGTAGCCTGCCAGGCTCCTCTGTTAATGGGATTCTCCAGGCAAGAATACTAGGGTGGGTTGCCATTTCCTATTTCAGATGATCTTCCCAACCCAGGGATCAAACCCAGGTCTCCTGCATTAACAGTGGATTCTTTACCATCTGAGCCACCAGTTATTACCAAGTAAACGGAGAATACTGAAATCAGAGCATGTACATTTCACACCTGGGCATTTATCATCAGCCTTCATCAAAGTTCTTTTCACCTAACAATGGTAGTAATGGCACAGTCTGAGAGAGCGGTCCGTGCCAAACACTTTTCAGGAATTATCACATTCAATCATCATAACAGAGTCACGAGGCCGGGATACCACCGATACTCATATCTTACATGTATTCATGTCAGCAAATGTCTACTGATAGACTTAATTACCTCACATCTGTAATTAAAATATTGTGCAGTGTGTGTGTGTTTTAAGATATGTGTATGTGTTGATTCACTGCAAGGTATGTTCATTTTATTAAAGTAATTTGCCACATATAATTTACTAAATTCTTTTTCTTTCACATCTCTTTTATAGTACTTTGTTTATTCACATTTTGCACCTTTCATTGGATCACTTTGGGAAATTTATATTTTGCCAGGAAATCTCCAGTTTTCTTTGAACTTCACAGTCATTTTTCCCTCAAGGTAACTTGTGTTTTTTAATGACACTGAATGCACAGAATAGAAGCTGGTTAGGTGTAAAACAAAGACAGAAAAATCTTTCTCTCAGCAACTGAGTTTCTCAGTACAAGTAAACTTTGACAATCTCTTTCACCATTAACTAGTCTGTGTTTAGGCTCCCCAGCTGGCACTAATGGTAAAGAATCCTCCTGCCAATGCAGGTGACCTGGGTTTGATCCCTGGGTTGGGAAGATCCTCTGGAGCAGAAAATGGCAATCCATTCTAGTATCCTTGCCTGGGAAATCCTAAGGTCAGAGGAGCCTGGTGCACTACAGTCCATGGCGTCTCAGAGAGTCGGCCGTGACTAGGTAACTAAGCACATGCAGTCCTCTGTGTTTAGGGGCTTTGCTCTCGTTGTTAACAACCTATACCTGGGGTTTGCCTTGCACTTCATCAAAAGGTCCCTTCCAAACAAGGACAGAATTGCTCACTCACGTTTCAAGTGATACTGTCTCCTTTTGTCTGACTGTGGGATTTCTCACTTGTTGCTTGACTGATGCCCCTTTATTCCCCCGAATGAAAGGAACGTGGCAGCCCCGAAGCCTAGACCCATCCTCACATCAGCTACTGCAGGTGAGCACACCCACAGTGAGAATGTGGCAGAGGGAACAGAGATTAGAGAGTATTGCTTGTCTTGAGATTCTCATAAAATTATTCACACTTCAAAGTTAGTAGTGATATACTTCCTCAAGCAGTAAGTATAAACACATTCAGTCCTGCCCCAGTATTCATACCATTTACTTTAGAATCCTGATTCCAAGTTTACTGATGTATACAGGATAATGACCTATTCAGTTATTAACACTAATAAAATTTAACTATCTAAAAAACCATACTTTAAAGAAGCAGTAAAAATAAACAAAAAGGAAATGCCTGCTCTGGGTTTCTTGCTCTTGCTCTTCAGCTGACCAAGTGTCCACCCTGGGGTGGTGCTGACAGTCCACCAAATTTCTTAACAGTTTGTGAAACTGCAGAAATGAGAACATCGTTCTGTAAATTTAGGAGGGTCAGCCAGTGATGACTGAAGATAATGCTGGTCCTTGGAACAAGGAGAAAAGACTCTGGAGGAAGGGCTGGGGACAGGGCAAGGTGGTGAAGCACAACCCTGCTCCCAACACTGGTGGGTAAGCATGGGGCAGGGCGGGGGTGGATGGGTGGAGCGGGGGGATTTCAGGGCACTTACAAGACCCTGGAGGTTACCACAGTGATGGATACACTGTGATATACATTGGCCCAAGCCCAGCAGATGGACAATCAAGAGAGTGAGCCTTAACGTAAACTGTGGACTCTGGGTGATGATGACTTATCCCTGTAGGTCCATCAGTTATAACAAATGCACACCTGATGGAGGGCCCTGCTGATGGGGGAGGCTGTGCATATAAGAGGACAGGGCAGCCCGCAGGACAGCTCTGTACCTTCCTTTCAATTGTTCAGTGAATCTAAAGCTGCTCTAAAATATGTGCTCTTTAAAAGATCTGCATTTCCTTGGTATCTACGAGAGATACTTTTATTAAGTTTTTCTTAGCTCATTATGCACGGGTGATTCTGATAACAGGGGTTTGGGTATATATCATAAGTGAATATTCCCCTACCTGAATATAAATTAAAAGTAATATCCTTCCTAATTCTTTCCCCTTTGGTTTTCCAACACAGGCAACCAGAGTGAAATGTCAAGAAGAAAATTAGGCTGTATATATGTCAGTTACACCAAGGGCAACAAAACAGTTAACTAATAACGATGCTGTTTGCAGAGGATGAGTTACACCCCCCCAGATGGTATTCTGGATTCCTAATCCCAGCATCTTAAAATGGGACCATATTTGGAAAAAAAGTTACTGCAGACATGGTTAGTCAGGACGTGGACATTAGAGCAGGCCCTAGTCCAATATGATGGGTGTCCTTAGAAGGAGGGGACTTGGGACAGAGATGCATTCTCACAGGGATGCTGCTTCTACAAGCCAAGACAGGCAAAGCCCTAGAAGCCAGGAAAGGGGCCTGGAACACCTCCCCTACTCAGAGCCTGCCCTGCTGACACCTGGGCCTTGGACTTACACCCTCCAGGACCGTGAGACGCTAACTCCTACTATCAAAGTCACCACTTGGTGGTACTCGGCTCTGGCAGCCTTAGCTAGGAGCCAGTGTTGCGGTCTGTTTTCTCGTTTGTTTTCTGTCAGACACTCCCTTCAGAGGAAGGTTTAAGTGGCAGACAGGAGGGGCCCACACCTTCACAGCGGGGGACGGTGGAGCTCCAGACGACATTGCCATCCTGCAGGATGCAGGTGATGGACTCCGAGCCCTGGGTTTTGACAAAGCCGTCATCACAGTGGAAGGAGACTGAGCTCCCCAGCAGGAACCTGTCACCAAAGCGCCGTCCATTTACGGGGATGCCAGGGTCGTGGCACTCGTTTTGACCAAATGCTGAAAAGAGAAAAAAAACATCAGAGTAAAAAAAAAAAAAAAACTTGAATATTAATCATGGGTATTAAAAAAGAAAGCAGAACCACTTATAAAGCAGTTTTAGTTCTTTTTCAGAGATAGATAAATACATTCAGTAAATAGAATATTGATACCTAGAGAGACAGAAGGAGAGAAATGGGTAGATAGACCTCATTATCATCCACACAGCGTCCCCAAATTGGAAGCTACTTTCTTACTAAGAAAAATGGAGAAGAGATACATAGTTTACAGAAAAGGATTTTGGTTCTGGCACATCTAGGTTAGCATCCCGGCTCTTGTGCTTACTGGTCCCTGGGAAGATCAGTCCAGTCATCCGAGCCTTTTTGAGGTTCATTTGCTAAGTTGTGTCTGACTCTCTGTAACCCCATGGACTGCAGCCCTTCAGACTCCTCCGTCTTCCACTGTCTCCCAGAGTTTGCTCAAATTCATGCCCATTGAGTTGGTGATGCTATCTAATCATCTCAGCCTCCGCCGCCCCCTTATCCTTTTGCCTTCTCCTTTTGTTTCCCGCCAATCTCCTCTATCCATGGAGTTTTCTAGGCACAGAATTCTGGAGTGGGCTGCTGCTTCCTTCTCCAAGGGATTTTCTCAACCCAGGGATTGAACTCCTGTCTCCTGTGACTCCTGCATTGCAGGAAGAATCTTTACTGCTGAGTCATCAGAGAAGCCCCTATCTGAGTCTAGTTATCTTTATTTACAGAATGAGGAAGATGAAGCTTATATTCCAGAGCTGCTACAATGTTAAATGAAACAATTTCTGTCAAATCCTAAGCAGATCACCTTAGAGAAGTAGGCAGTCAGTACATTTTAGCGTATAGCTCCTATTTAACATTATTATCTTACTTTATTCCCTCAACAGTGCAATTTAAGCAGATTGTCTTAAATATAAGCTATGATCAAATGAGGAGTCTGAATCAAAGAAAAGTTAGCTGTTTATCAAAATTCACTAAGTACATACGAGTTGTTGTTTAGTTGCTCAGTTGTGTCCAACTCTGCAACCCATTGGACTGTAGCCTACCAGGCTACTCTGTCCATGGGATTTTCCATGCAAGAATATTGGAGTTTGTAGCCATTCCCTTCTCCAGGGAATCTTCCCACCCAGGAATCAAAATTGGGTCTCCTGCATTGCAGGCAGATTCTTTACTACTGTCACCTGGGAAGACCAAGTCCATACATTTAGCAGGTGTTATAATCCATGACTCCTGACTCCAAATACCTCAATGCTTTTCATTATTCTATTGCATGGAGGATACAAGATGGATGGATGGATGGATGGATGGATGGATGGATGGATGGAAGGAAAATCAGAGAGAGAGAAGTCATGTGAGCAACCAGTCCTCACTATAGGGGTGACCAAGACACCACAACAGAGTGAGGTATTTTTTTAGGTTCTCAGGATAATGTTATATAATTTTGAGAATTGTGACTATAAAACCCTGGAGTAACACCCTTGCCATTGAATTTCGCTCACAGGAGAGCCAGTGGAGACCACGGACGTGGGGTGGGTGCGGATGCACTTACTGGTGTAGGTGATGTTGAAGCCCCGGCCGGTGGTGGAGTGGTCCGACTGGAACTCCAGGCGGACGATGTGCCCGCTGCTGGCCAGCTGGGATGGCACCTCGTTGCCCGAGAATGTGCCCAGCACGGTTATGTCTGAAATCCCATCATCTTTGACCGCAAGGAAGTCAAACTGAGGCTCCACATCAAAGTCATTAAAGATGAGGTGAATTCTGCTGCCCGGCTCAGAGATGATCAGCCAGACACAGTTCATGTTGTTACCATACTCTTCCGGGTAATTCGGTGAGAGGATAATTCCTGATGATGCCGTGAAGTTGAAGAAACAGGAAACTGAAGACACACAGATAATAATAGTTTCAAACAGTTTTGTCCACATCCAAAGATATGCCTGTGTGCTAAGGACCTGGGAAGGAAGTCTATACCAGCAGTTAACTAGGATGGTTCAACTTTTCTTTTTTTTAATTTTGAGAGTACTTACTGAATTTGTTACAATCCAGCTTCTGTTTTATGTTTGTTTGACCTCAACATAAATGCGAATCTCAGTTCTCTGACCGGGAATTGTACCAGGTTGTGAACAGATTAAGTTCAACATACAGAACAACCACAGCCTATACATAATCAAGTGTACGCTTGATTCAAAAATAACCCTATCAAGTTGACCGAAACTTGTGGCAAATATTAAGATTTCTTGTTAGAACTTTCTGCCTTCAGAAGAGCAAATATTAATATGAAAAATTATGCCTGTTTCATAAGGATAATTTCCAGAAAACAAGGTTGATTCTAATCAGTTTCCTATTTTTCATTTTAAATTTTGCATGTGCCTTAAAGCACATTTTTCGAAATTACTTTTTAAGTCATTTAAAGAGTAACAATGATTAAAGGACAACTTGGAAAATCAGACCATATCCTGGTGGATAATATAAAAGTCTCTTGGAATATTTACTTAATGTATACTGAGAAATCAGTAATATATATGTTTTGTGTATGTCCATATACATATTCTTTGGGAGGGAGCATCTACTGGACTTATTTCTAGGGTGTGGATTTGCTTATTATTTTACATTATTTCCTATATGTTTCCAGGTTATTGCTATACTTAGTTATAAAAAAAATCTGTTTTTCAATCTGTTATGCAGTCCTTCTTTTCTACTTCTTTTCTACTTGTTAAATCACTTACAAGGGACCTGGAGACCATAATACAGAGTGACATAAGTCAGAAAGAGAAAAACAAATACTGTACAGTAACACTTACATGTGGAATCTGAAAACACTTGGTACAGACAATCTTATTGACAAAGCAGAACAGAGACGCAGGCGTAGAAAACAAGCATATGGACACGAAAGGGGGAAGAGGGAGTTGATGAACTGGGAGATTGGGGTTGACATATGTACCCTACTGACACTATACATAAAATAAATAACTAATAAGAACCTTAACAATATAAACTACAAACTAGACAAAAAATAGGAGGAAGCAGGCAAGTCTTCCACTGAAATGTGAAGTGACATCACTTGAAGCTCACAATTGTGTTTTAAGTGTCACAGGACATGGTGTGTCCTGTTTTTCTCTGCAACCCTGTGGACTGCAGCCCGCCAGATTCCTCTGTCCATGGGATGCTCCAGGCAGGAATACTGGAGTAAGTTGCCATTCCCTTCTCCAGGGATCTTCCCAACCCACAGATGAAACCTGCATCTCTTACATCTCCTGCATTGGCAGGGGGATTCTTTACCATTCAGCCACTTGGGAAGTCCCATGCAGTACTGATACTATGTATACAATAGATAACCAATGAGAACCTACTTAGGGAAGCCGTCACAGGACATTATTAGGTTGCAAAGACCCCAGACCCTATCAAGGATGCTCACAGAGCTGGCATCAGCTCCTCTGGGTGGAAGTGATGCTCTGTGGACCTTGCTCGTGGAAAGCTCTCATCGACAGCTTATCTGTCTGGTAGTAAGAACATCACTGACTGGCTTTAAGTCAGTGGAGAAAGAAGAGCTGCGTTTGAGGAGCCCTGAGTGCTTCTGGTCAAAGCTGCGCCCCGGGGGGTGCAGGCAGCTGCCTTCCCTCAGGGCACACCCTGCTCCTCTCCCCTCTGGGGCAGCTTGGAACAGACCCCCGCCAGGAGAGTACTCACACACACAGCTGGGCTTGTTGCCAGACCACTGGTTGTTCTGCTGACACGTGATGACTCTCTCCCCCACCAGCTCGAAGGCCGCCTGGCACTCGAACGTGAGTGTGTCTCCGTGGAGAAAGCTGCTGCCGGTCCGCTTACCGTAAGCTGGGATGCCTGGATCCCCGCACCCCCCTTTCTCAATTTCTGAAAGGAGGAGAGATGAGTGGACCATTGAGAAAACACGATGAACGTTTTCAACAGTTCAGAAAGTGAACAATGGTTGACTTTTGCATTGTTTCCATAAACAGTTTCAATTCATCTAATATTTATTTAGCAGAAGCCCGAAAAAATATATACTTCAAATTTTGGAGAAAAGTGTTTAACTTTTCTTTCAAAGGAAACACAAAGCTATACAGATGTGTTAACCGTGCAAATGTTACAATTAATAGATGTTTCTTCCTGGTCTACACCCTTCCTGCATGCTATCCATAACTGCTGCCATTAAAATGTAAACATCAATTTTGTTTTAATTGATGTGTTTTTTAATGTAAACCACACAAGTAAGAAGGTTCATTCTCTACTGAATATTTAAATCAATATATCCATTTGAATATTCTTTCCTTTAAATTGGTGTTAAAACTCATTTAGGAAACAAAATGAATATATTCATGGTCTTCAGCTGAAAAGAAAATATGTGGAATCAAGGCTCTTTTCATTAGCACATGATTGTAATGACATGTGGATACAAATGCACCAAATTATACACACATTTCAACTTTGCTCTGTCACAAATGTTAATGATACAGGATGTATTAACTGAAATATGGTTATTCATTGATTCATACAAAAATATTTCTTGAGGGCCAATAATGCATCAGGTTCTGTTCTAGGTAATGAGGTTAGTGGACAAACAAGACACAGGGCTGACATTACATAGAGGGAACCAGTAACAATTTGTGAGATAATGAAGGAGACACAGGCCAGGGTGCCCGGACCTGCAGGAGGATGCTGGGGAAGGGCTGTTCTGCAGAGGAAGGGAGGGATTGGCCAGAGCTGCCTAGGAGGTTTCCACGGGAAGAAGATTTTGCAGGGTTTTCAGAAGATACACAACGTGATCTGCATACAAGTTCAGAAGACCCTCCTCTGGGCTGGGAGTGGAGGCAGGAGAAGGGTGAGTTTCCATAACTCAGGGAGGTTTATCTGTGCTTGGCTCACAGATGCATCTCTGGGTCCATGGTCCTTCCTGAATTCGTCATGTGTTTGCACTTTGTCGTCTTGCTGTGAGCAACAGCAAATTCAGATGTAGCAACATAAATGCTTTGTGATGAGGTCTCAGTGTCTGGAAAGTCTGTGGAAGTGACTCAGCTGAATTTCTGAGTGGTTTTCAGGTACATTCCTGCCTTGTGGGGAACCTGTCCAAGCTCAGAGATTGATCCAAAGATGGCTTATTCTCCTCCAGAGGAGAAACTCTACTTTCAAGTGTTCAGGAGTATCAGAGAGGTGACATCAACTGGTAATATAATGGTGGTGAAACTTCGACATGTAGGATATCAGCCCATCTGTTTCTGAAGCAAATTAGCACAAGAACACAAAACCAAACCAAACCAGGTACTTCGTGCAAACAAGTTCCTCACACTCCTGATGGCTCAGGCCATCAGATGAAAAAGACGGTCTAACTAGCATCAGTTAAATGGGAGCTCCAAAATCACTGCAGATGGTGATTGAAGCAATGAAATGAAAAGATGCTTACTCCTTAGAAGGAAGATTATGACCAACCTAGACAGCATATTAAAGAGCCGAGACATTACTTTGCCAACAAAGGTCCGTCTAGTCAAGGCTATGGTTTTTCCAGTGGTCATGTATGGATGTGAGGGTTGGACTAGAAAGAAAGCTGAGTGCCAAAGAATTGATGCTTTTGAACTATGGTGTTGGAGAAGACTCTTGAGAGTCCCTTGGATTGCAAGGAGGTCCAACCAGTCCATCCTAAAGGAGATCAGTCCTGGGTGTTCATTGGAAGGACTGATGCTGAAGCTGAAACTCCAATACTTTGGCCACCTCATGCGAAGAGCTGACTCATTTGAAAAGACCCTGATGCTGGAAAACATTGGGGGCAGGAGGAGAAGGGGACGACAGAGGATGAGATGGCTGGATGGCATCACCAAGTCGATGGACATGGGTTTGGGTAAACTCCGGGAGTTGGTGATGGACAGGGAGGCCTGGCATGCTGCGGTTCATGGGGTTGCAAAGAGTTGGACACAAATGAGCGACTGAACTGAAATGGGAGCTAAAATATTCCTGGATGCAATGCAGGCCAAGAAAGCCTTGGAGGACACTCTTCCTTAAGGGCCAGCCTTGGTGTACAAGTGGATGAACCTGAGCTGAACAGAGGCAGGAATGGATCTACTTGAATTTAACACTTGGATTATCTTGAACCAAATTTCGTTGACTGAAGGCAATTTGGACTGGTGGTTTATAATAGAAAAGACCTTATTTTTTTTAATTTATTCATTTTTCATTGAAAGATAATTGCTTTATAGTATTGAGTTGGTTTCTACCAAACATCAACATAGATTTGATGTTGAATCAGCCATAAATTTATCTATGTCCCCTCCCACTTGAACATCCCTCTGCCCTCCCTCCCCATCCCACCCTTCTAGGTTGTTACAGAGCCCCAGTTTGAGTTCACTGAGTAACACAGCAAATTCCCGTTCGGTGTCTATCTTACCTATGGTAATGTGGTTTTCCATGTTACTCTCTCCACACATCCCACCTTCTCCTCCCCTCCTCCCCCAAGCTGAGTCCACAAGTCTGTTCTCTATGCCTATGTCTCCACTGATACTCTGCAAATAGGTTCATCAGTACCATCTTTCTAGATTTCACATATATCCATTCGTGTACAGTATTGTTTTTCTCTTTCTGACCTGCTTCCCCCTGTATAATAGGCTCTAGGTTCATCCACCTCATTAGAACTGATGCAAATGACTCCAATTCCTTTTTACGACTAAGTAATATTCCATTGTATATATGTACCACCGCTTCTTTATCCATTCATCTGTTGATGGATTTCTAGGTTGCTTCCATGTCCTAGCTGCTGTAAACAGAGCTGCAATGAATATCTGTGTCTTTTGCAATTTTGGTTTCCTCGGGGTATTCACATAGTAGTGGGATTGCTGGGTCATATGGCAGTTTTATTCCTATCTTTTTTTAAAGGAATATCCATAGTGTTCTTCATAATAGCTGTGCTAATTTACATTTCTACCAACAGTGCAAGAGTGTTCCCTTTTATCCACACCCTCTCCAGCATTTATTGTTTGTAGATTTTTTGATGATGGCCATTTTGACCAGTGTAAGGTGATATTTCATTGTAGTTTTGATTTGGAGTTCTCTAATAATGAAGCCATGTTGAGCATCTTTTCATGTGTTTATTAGTCATCTGTATGTCTTCTTTGGAGAAATGTCTGTTTAGGTCATTTTCCCGCTTTTTGATTGGGTTGTTTGTTTTTCTGAATTGATTTGTAAGTAGATGGAGAGATATTCTATGTTTCTGGGTTGGAAGAATCAATTTTGTGAAAATAACTATTCTACTAAATCTATAGATTTAGTAATCTATAGTAATCTATAGATTCAGTGCAATCCCTATCAAATTACCAATGACATTTTTCACAGAACTAGAACAAAAACTCTTACAATTCATATAGAAACACAAAAGATCTCAAATAGCCAAAGCACTCTTGTGAAAGAAGAATGGATCTGGAAGAATCAATCATCATGAATTCAGACTATACTACACAGTTATAGTTATCAAGGCAGAATGGTGCGCACGCACACACACACACACACACACACACAAAACACAGAAATATAGACCAATGGAACATGATTGAAAGCCCAGGGATAAACCCACACACCTATGGATACCTTATTTTTGACAAAGGAGGTAAGAATATACAATGGGGCAAAGATAATCTCTTCAATAAGTGCTGCTGGGAAAACTGGACAGCTCCATGTAAAAGAATGAAATTAGCACATTTCCTAACACCATACACAAAGATAAACTCACATTTGGATTAAAGACTTAAATGTAAGACCAGAAACTATAAAACTCTTAGAGGAAAACATAAGCAGAACACTCAATGACATAAATCAAAGCAAGATCTTCTATGACTCACCTCCTAGAGTAACGGAAATAGATAAGTGGAATCTAATTAAACTTAAAAGTTTTTGCACAGCAAAGGAAACTATAAACAAGGAGAAAGACAGCCCTCAGAATGGGGAAAAATAATAGCAAATGAAACAACTGACAAAGGATTAATTTCCAAAATATGCAAGCAGCTGATACAAGAGCTTCCATCTGATGTGACCTGTCAGTGGAATAGGGTTCAGAAGCCCAGGGTCCTGGCCAAGGACACAGCTCTGAGGTCAGGAATCAAAACAGCAGACTTGGTTTGGAAATTCCTAGGCTAAGCTGGGCCACCTGATGCAATTTAGTCTTGTAAAGTCTCCATTTTCACTTCCTCCGTTTACTACTTTCTACCTCACAGGGCAGCTGTGAGAGTTAAACTATATAATTCACACAAGTCCTGGCATATAGGGCCCATAATATTAGCTATCACTAGGATTATTAGCAAACCTTAGACTTCTAGATGCTTCTTTTTGCCTCTGTGATGCTAAAGTTCATAACTTTTTATAGTGAAATGAATTAATGGCATTTCTACACTAACTGAGTCTGGGAACTTAGAGCACATGGAAATAAGCTGGTTGTAGCCACACTGTGTGGAAGGTCTCTCTGCTTCCCATGCTGAGGGTTTAGAATGTCTAGTGGCCCTTCATCTCCACCAAAGATACTGGTATTCCCTGATCCAGACATAAGGCCAGGGCTGGCCCAGAGCAGAACCTGGGTCTGGTGAGTCCTTTTTTAAGAGTTTGGCAGGGACTTGTGATGCCAAGTCCAGGGACTAGTGTTGGACTAATAATATCCACTATCAGTAAGTCTGCATGGAAGAGCTAGACCCACTCATCAGCCACAGAATATGAAGCTTCACTTGGGGAGCATTTTTGGGCATTTTGTATTCTTGACCCCTGCATACTGTATCACTTGAGCCCCAAGTAACTGTGACAGAATCTACACACATTCAGAAATTTCCCTTGGAGGTCAAACTGCCTTCACTTGAGAGTCTGCATCTACTTCACATATTGTCTGAACC